AAGATTCTCCTAACAGACCTCGGTTTTATAATCTCTCTTTGGCCTTTGTCAATGAAATATATATGTCAATATTTTAAATAATTTATATTTTAACGCTTATGCAAGAAATGAGTAATAAAGAAATTGACAATATATATACTGTAGAAATTTAATTCTCAGTAAAACAAATTAATCTGACATAATTACAAATTATGAATGCTTTATTCATAATTAATATTAGTTAATAATGAAAATGAGTTATTGTCCTTTAAACAAAAGAAAATGTTCTCAAACTAAATTATAACGTCAAATGAATAAGCATAAAATAACATTCGGACTCGACTCCTTACAAATAATGTATATCATCATGGCCAACTAATTTTATTTCAATCATCATTTAAGTCACTTTTTCCTTGCTGGTAGTTACTATTCTCACTTTTTTGAAGTCATTTTCTATTCGGAGGACTAACGTTATCATCTGTTAATTATGTATATTCTTAAGATTTATAAACAAAACATTTTATCTATATCGAGAGAAATATCCCAATACATCTCCAAGTTCGTGATTGTATACTATTTCTGTATGTATGAATTTATTGATCAAATCGGACATTTTGGGGTGTCTCCAACATGATCTGTCTTCAAAAAGGATGCTTGATAGATAAATAATTTTGTATAGAGTTTGCTGTCGAAAATTTATAGGGTCACGCTATAGCCTTAATCTCCGATCCAGATTGAGTATATCAGTTAATTTTTATTTGATTGGACGAGAATTTCTGATTATTAGATAAAATTATCCGTTAATTTTCTCGAGCTATCGAATTGCGATGTTTAAATGAATCGCGATGCCTATTTCTGCTTGTATTAATTCTTTCGTTTCTATTGTTTGGTGTTTTGCGATATAATTTTTGATAAGGGTAAAAATTCTTAATTTAAATCGTGTAAATTTCGAGAATATTAAATTTAAATTACTCGTGTATCGTTATAAACTGTTGTGTTTGTGCTCAGAAATAAGAAATCGTTCTGTATGATGTAAATTTTTATTCGCGTTTTAATAAACTGAACGAATAGTGTCTGTCACGGATGTATTGTATTAACATTCAGTTACATAATGTACTACTGTTTGATAAACGGTCTAGAAAACATCATAAATACAATGTATTTTCAAGTTATCCAACCATATCTGATATGGGTTGATGAAAAAGGAGTGGTCATTTCAGTTGTGGCATGTTGTGTTCGTCGTATCTTTTACGTATCTCGATGAAGTCAGGCTTAGAATATTGTGTTTTTTGTTTGTATACGTCATTTTTCCAATACCAATAATGGTACAGAAAACTAATAAAATTTTTATATTTTTGATATACAGTATTTATTGGTTTATATTTTCTGTTTGAATGGTTCCTTGAATAAAAAATGTTTTACAAAGCATAGTATTCGATGGATAATTTATGGTTGTCTTTTATATATACATCTCTATAATATAAATTTTAAGAAATGTATTTGAATGTTAAACTGTGATGATAATTTTATAAAATATGTATTGAGAGTTTACGTTTACGTAAATGTAAACTTAATTTTGAATGCTAAATCCAGAAATTAAGTCAAAAGAAAAATTAAAGTCAAGTAAATTTGACAATTCTGAAATATCAGTATATTATTTATATTTTTAATAAGCAAATCATAAGCAAAAAAATCTTGTTGGCAGAAATTTAAAAAATAAAATAAAAATAAAATAAGTGAACCAACCAAGCATCACACTTTACTTCTATTGAATAATTTGAACTAAAAATAAAGAAAAATAATTTGAGTGGTAACAAAGTTCTGTTTAAAAAGTTTGTAAGCTAGTAAAAAATTTTGAAGCACTAGTTTATAGTATTAAATACCATTTAGCTATTTATTATTATTATTAAGATTTACAAATTTAAGAATTACAAATAGAATTTATTTATTGGGCTATAACTTATTTTCATTCTGTTAATAAATAAAGATTATAAAGATTGTAAATATCATCATTCAAACTATCAAGCAGATGGACTATGATTCAAAGCAGAGCCCATTTCTATAATATTGATAATATAAGATAATTAATATTTAGTAATTTCTAAATATTGGTAAATATTGGCATTATACTTATTAAAGATATTACAGCTACAATAACCTGAAAAATCCATAAATCTACAATATTTTTCAGTTTAGAATGCAATAAAATAATATTTTCATTTACCCAATTACAAAAATTTTGCTTAGTTTGAGAAACTTTTGAAGTGTTTTTTAAAATAGTTAATTCTACCAATAATTAGTTTTTATCTGGCATAAATTGTTCTCGTTTTATTTTTATTTGCTGCGTTTTTAGACGAAATATTTTTTAATATTTAATAACTTAAAAATCAGATGTTGACCATTTCTGAAAACAATTGCAATAAATATATGGTTTTATTGTTTCATTGACTTCTTATGTAAAGGAAAAAATATATATATTTACTCATTATTACATCTTTCATCAAAGTATTCATTTTGATTATCAATGGGGAGAGAATTTTTGATAATTTAAGAATAAGAAGAAATAAGAATACAGTAAATTAACCCTTTAGTTCCTCGCCCGAGTTAACTCGGGCAGGTTACATAGCGTTACATAAAACACGATCCTTAAGGCCATTTTTAAATTTTTTTTTGAATTTTTGGAATGTTTTTTAAGTCTCCAAATTTTTAAAAAATATTTAAAAATATACGGCCAGCTAGTGTTTACCCTACTTTAAACCCTTGTCCTCCCGCGACGTCTATGAGAATGCCCCGGGAAATCCAACTCCAGCTGTGTTCAAGGTCATCCAGATGTGTAAACAATGACTCATCGGTTTAAATTTCACAGAAGGGGGAGACAAAGGAAGTTAAACTTTGAAGCTTTTTCTTCAAAATTAACGCATTTCTTTCGTTTTTTTTCAGTTTTAAGTATTTTTTATGTTTGATTACATTTATATCAAAAATTGCTAGGAACTAAAGCAATTAAGGTCTAGATGTCCTTTACATCCATAAACGTTATATGTCAGTGGAACAAATGAAGTGAGCTTTGAGCGTTCCACGATTTTTGGAGACTGTCTATACGTGGGCTTCCTAAACAAGCCTATATGTATGTTTGTCCAAGAAATTTTTGGATGAAATACAAACCGCACAATTTCAAAATCGCATAAAAATAATCCGCATAAAAGAGACCTTACAGTATATAACTTATATATATTCGAAATGTAACTGTACTATCAAAACCTAAGAAAATTTTAATCTATTAGAATAAAACGTATCCTAAGAAAGTACGGCAACTCCTCACCTAATGTCGTCGAGTAAAGGTAAAGTACAGTACATTTCTAAGCATTTACAATAATCGTTATCCAATTTTTATAAATAGTAAAACTGGTTCTATGAGACGGGAAATAAATGCTGAAAGTTGCAAATACGATCCAATTAGAATAATAGTAACCAAATTACATCAATTTATTTAAATTATTTATCAAAATTATCAAATTATTTACATCAATTAGTCCGTAGTAAAATTTGTTTCGCTTTATACAGACACAATACGGTGACTTTTTTTCAATACACTTGGCAGATCATTAATCTTATTATTCAGTTGGAATATTATAAAGCAAATTATAATATTCCAACACGGAATATTATTAAATTATAATAATAATATTCCGTGCAAATATAATAATAATATTGCTTTATACTATTATATAATAAATTGTAGTTTAATTTGCTTTATACTATTATAACACGGTTTCATCAGAATCAAAAAAAAAATTGTTTCGTTATATGATGCTGAGGACTTTGCTTATTGACCCAATACGCTTTTACGAAAACTATAAAGAACACAAGTCATTTTTACAAAAAAAGAGAGAGAGAGAGAGAGAATAAAAAATAGGAGTCTTTATAAATAGTTTGAGAAACACTAGAATAAAATAATAGTTATTAAAAATTAGATTCTTTACGCATCGTTAGTTCGGGAAGAAGGAAAATTCGTCAAATGCCACTACATGCATATAAGTTACTCCCTCAATTATTTATGATTTGTCGAAAATAATTTTAAAAAAAAACGAGATGAGACTATAATGGTAACTTTATGGATGTATTGTGAAGTTTTTGGTGGAGTAGCGATAAATATTTGTAACCTACGGTGAAAAGTAAGAATCTCCTGTATATGTGGCGAAAAATAATCTTTATGCTGTTTATGTATGTATCAACTCCCAAATAGTTCTTTCCCGAAATATATACAGTTATTATTGATTTATTAAGTAAATTTAAAAAATATTGACCTTCGATTACTTTGTTCTTGTGGACGGAGCCCATAGCTTGCTCTTAACTACTGTTTGTAGTTTAATTTTTCCTTATATTTCCGCTTCTCGTTTGCATATTTTGAAGCGTCGGGGTATTCTTTTATGTTATCGATGATAATATAAAACAATAAATATTGATTTTTTTATGTAGCATTAGATTTTGAATGGCGATACTTTCATTTCGGTTTATCATAAACTATCGAAATATGTTATGAGAAAAATTTATTCCCAATAAATGTATTTATTCGTAAATATTTTATAAATTAAATATTGAAATTTTTAAATTTTATACTTTACGATTACGGAAGAAATCGCATGTGTAACATAAAATTTCAAATCCGTTTCTTTTCTTTTTAACTTTAAAACATATATAATATGTTATTATTGGTTAATTGATAGCATTTAAAGTCACATAATTCAAATGTTATACTTTTATATTAAATGCATGTAATAAAGTATGACGCATCTACCTAAAATAATATTAAATGTGTTAAATAGAAAATAATTTATATAATTAGTTAAGTTAAAAATGAATTAAATTTATTTTAAAACACAAAAGGGAACGAATAAGCAATTCGTATTTTTTAATTAGTTGAAAAAAAGAGTATAAAATGTAATTCACAATTCATACAATTTCTTAAAAAATTTGTATATATTAAATTTTGCGATTTTACAGTTTTCCCTTTTTAAGTGCAGAATTCTGTAGTAAACATTTACCGATTAGAAGTGGTAGATACTATTCTTCATTTTTCCATTTCGGAGCAAGTTTTTGCTTCGAAGTTTAACCAGTTTCCTCATTAAGTTGCCTTTCTCGGCTTTCAGCACGATCTCCTTCAATCTGCTTTCTGTTAATTGAGTCGATAACTCACTCACTTTCATTGTTAATTTTTCGTTGACCATTTTCAGTTTTCCGTTTTCTTTTTCCATTCTCTCGATCTGACTGTTCATTCTCTTAATAGTCTCTAAAAGACACGAATTCAATTCTTCCAGATTGCTTTCCTCCATTCCAAAAAAGGTTCTTGAAAACGAAAGTATAAAAACGTTGTTTAATTTCGAACGTTTAAAAAAGAATATAGTTGGTCGTTCGCGCTCGCTTATTACAAGCATACTGCTCATAACCTTGGATATAATGTATTTTATTAATCGACTGTTGTTGTCATAGCAATATTATTATTTATTCTTGCGAAAGTTCGTCGTTGTTAAGACGCTTATTTTCTACCAATCGATGCTTATATCGAGAGCATCGATTTATTTTTTTCAACGACGTCCATCTACCAGTCGTCTATAACGCGAAGTTTACCGTATTCTATTGTTTGTCACGTGTAAATAAAGTTAGTTTTATCGATTTTAAACGGTGTACATATGTTGCGTAAACCACTCTCGACATATAATTCGATAGAAGTAGCTTTCTGTTTCTTCTAAAGCGGTAACTCGGAATAAGTTGTTGTTGTTAAGCCATTAAGTTATTTTAACTTCAAACACTTTTGGTTGCGCTTCAAAGGATTTACGTTATATTAACGAACGAACGCATTGCGGGGTCGGAAACAGTGACGTCAGAGCCTTTCTATTGAGTTTTAACAGCTATGTAACTTCTTGTCGTTCGGTCTGTTACCATTCTGTTGTCGGGGGTTGGTCGATTCTCTTCCTTTCTCTCCGTTTTTCTCGTCTTTTATATAGTCGGATTAAAATGAAATTTTCTATTTATAAATATATTAAAATAAATAAATATATACTTTTTGCAAGTACGGACACAAATACATTTAATTCGCTTTCTCGTACATGCATATAATTAATTTAAAACAAAATATTTTAGTAAACATAGAAAGAGTTCTTACATATATTTATTATTAAATTTGTTTTTTTAAATACTTTTTTTAGTGTAGAGATTTCGTGAAAGCGGGGGCAGTTAAAGGACAAACTCCAGCAGATGTAGTGGCTGCTGCCGATATCACGTTTTGTTGTGTATCAGATCCCCAGGCTGCTAAAGAGGTATACTCAATTTGTGTTGTCATTGTCAATAAAAATTCCATTTTATTTTGTTCTATCTTCAATTTAACATCTAATTATCAGAAATTAAAAATAAAATAAAACTGATCTTATTGTATAAGAAAATTTTGTGATCTTATTTAATGTATATAATTATTTTAAAAACTTTAGGGATAAAAAATGTTTTTACTAATTTTAGAAAATCTGTGATCATGAAAGGATAAAATTTAAACAGTATTTTCTTACTTGTACTTTTAGTTATTATAAACATTTCCAGGCATTACACTATTATACATTAAAAAAATCAAAATTAACAGACAACCAAACCAATACCAGCAACTATGTAATTAATAAATAAAGAAAACATTTACTAACGTTTTTGTATGTTTAAAATAGACAGCATCAGGTGTATGTGACATTAGTAAATATTTTCTGTATTTATTAATTTTCTTATTTATATATAAATATTATATATATTTTCTTTATTATTACATATTTATATTTTCTTTATTTATTAATTTAATTACATAGTTGTGGTATTGGTTTGGTTGTCTATGTTTATATGATCCCAGTTTTGGAGAGTTACTGAATCAAAATTAAATTGATCCTTCTTAAAAAGATGTTGAAACAAATTTTTTTTTGTAATGAAGCAGATTTTCTGTGGAAATAAACTAGTGAAATATTTTAAATTAATTAAAGATTAGAAATCAATTAATCAAATTTATTTTTTACATATCTTTTCTTTACATACTATTCCTTTAAATCTTTACATAATTACATTATAATTCTAAATTTTTTTTTTTTAAGTTAAAATTGTGACTTTGTGAGGTATCAAATAGATGTAAAAATGCTATTTTAATTACTGTTTTATAGACAGTTAAATGTTTGTTATATGAATGAGAACACAATGAATATAATAATCAAGTAATAATATGTGACAAAAAAAGTTTAAAGTGTTAATTCTTATTTATGTGTTGCTTTTTGGTTCTTAAATTTAACAATTTTTGTTTCTTAACTAATTTGAAATAAATAATTTGGATAATTGTTTTGTTAAGCTTCAAATTTTGATAAACTAACTATGATAATGCATGATGACTATGCAATTACACATACTATACATGGGATAACAATATTTAAAAAATAAAACTTTATACCTTTTTTTTTACCTTTACCTTTAAGATAGTTTTATAAGAAACATTTATGATTATAAAAAATATCTCTAAAACATTATCTGTTGTCAAAATCAATAATTTGGATAATTGTTTTGTTAAGCTTCAAATTTTGATAAACTAACTATGATAATGCATGATGACTATGCAATTACACATACTATACATGGGATAACAATATTTAAAAAATAAAACTTTATACCTTTTTTTTTACCTTTACCTTTAAGATAGTTTTATAAGAAACATTTATGATTATAAAAAATATCTCTAAAACATTATCTGTTGTCAAAATCAAAAGATAAAATATAAATGTTGTAAAAATATTTTGCAAATATATTTAAAATATATAAAATTTTGTGAGCATCATTATATCAGTTATATCATAAATATTTGTGCAAATTGAAAAAAAAATATTAAAAAAATATTTTATTGATACAATTATATGAAACTGACAATCATGAATGATCAATAATAATGATTCACCACAAATCAAATTTCAGAATCATTCTTTATAGTTATAAAAATATAAAATTTTACAGTCAAATTTAATTTCTTAAATGATTAACTGATCTTGATTTAAGATAAATTGAGTTTCAGATAAAGGTTGTATTGAAGTATTTGGTTTATCATTTGAAAAGCTAATTATATAAATTAACAGAATATAAATATATGTAAATTACAAATAAGCGACAATTTCCAGTAGTTAAATATAAATGTTTTAACTCTTTCTGTAAAATTATAGTTTATATTGATATAGTTGATTTCTTTTCATATATTAGCAAGTATTTAATTAATAAATGATACATAGAATTCTTTAAAAGTAATATTCTGTCTTGAATTTAATAAAAAATTCACAAACTTTGATGACAGAAATCGGAACTTTTCTAACCAAATTTGATGATTTTGAATGGAGTTTGGTAATTACTCTAAGATTGATAATCATGGAATAATTTTTGACAATAAATTAAAACAGATATTAGTAAACACATAAAATGAATAAATAAATATATTTAAAAAAAGTAATTTTACTATATAAAATGAAATTGAAAAATTTTATTATGAGTAGATTTAATGTGAATAATAAGATATAGATATACAATATATGTTAATCCAAAACTCTTTAGTCAATCAGAAATATAAATTGTCAAATTTTTCAAGTTCATATTTTAAGATAATTAAACATCATTTGGGCCAAAGGTAAATATTAGATCATCATCATGTGCTAAGATTAATTATTAGAATTAATTTTGAAATTTAATTTAATAACTTTGAATATTTTGGAAGAAAAAGTAACTTTGGAGGGCAATATGAATCTACATCTTCTGCATACTGAAAAACACATTGGCATGATAAGCAGAAGTTGTGGGCTCAAATCTTACTCTATGCTAATCTTTTCTTATCAGAGTTTTCTAATTTATTAAATTATATTAAAAAAAAACTAATTCTAGTTATTAATTTCAGCAAAAGAAAGTGACTTAACTGTATATCTTATGGCCAAATTATAATGTTTAAATTAATTAATGTAAAATGTAGCCAGAAAAATAATTTGATAATTTAGATTTCTGATTGAATAATAATGTATTATGATATTTGATTGTTATCCACATGTTCAGTTTAAAATGAAAATGTTTATTTTAATTATTTACCATTATTATTGTTTCCTGCAATATATTAGTTTTTCTGTGACAGCAAACATTTTCTTTAACTCAAGAATGACTGTTTTTTTTTATGATAAAATCATTTAAATGTTATATTTATAATTCAGTTTTTGTTTGGTATTGATGTATGCTGTGTAAGTGGGAATCAGTTTTCTGCCAATTTTTCAAAACTACAAATTTGCAGATAGTGTTTTCCTGGGCAAGGGCTCAAATGATGCCAAAAGAGGTGCCCCTATTTAAGGAATGTTTTTTGTATAAAACTGAATTTTCTCATTTTGTTGGATATGTTTTTCTGTGCAAGAGCTCAATCATAAAAGTACATATATAAATAATCAAATTGTAAAAATTAAATCTGATATTTATTACATGCTTGTTACATTCCTGTAGTATAAGTCCAGAGAAAACACAATTTAAAACATTTTTCATTTTGGAGCTTTTAAAACATGAAACTATGATATTAAAATGTTGAATTTTTGAATACTCTAAAAATTGATTTTTCTTTGCTTCTTAGATGGTGTTTGGTAATTGTGGAGTTCTTCAAGAGATTCGTACAAAAAAAGGATATGTAGAAATGACTTCTATAGATCCAGAAACATCTCAAGATATTGCTGAAGTACGGTTTATTTAGTATTAAAGCAATTACTAAAATATGAATTGAGTGTAAAAATACATTAAATGGATAAATTAAAACTTTTTATAGTTTAAATGTTTTTGTCAATTGAGTATATAATATTTTAGGCAATTTTAACAAGAGGTGGTAGATATCTTGAAGCTTCTCTCTCTGGATCAAAAGTTCCTGCAGAAGAAGGAGCATTAATAATTCTTGCAGCTGGAGAAAGATCACTTTTTAATGATTGTGCTACATGCTTTCAGGCAATGGGAAAGCATGCCTTTTATCTTGGTAAAATATAATTTAGTCATTGAATTTTATTTTCTGTAACTAGAAGCTTTAACTTTGTTTTTTTCTCCCTTCTAAATAGGTGAAGTTGGAAATGGTTCCAAAATGAATTTGATTATCAATATGGTTTTGGGAACTGCTCTAGCTGGTCTGGCTGAAGCAATGGCTTTGGCCGATCGTGCAGGCTTGTCACAAAGAGATCTCTTGGAAATCATGGAACTGGGCTCACTGAATTGTCCTGCCATCATTGAAAAGGGAAAAGGTATGAAAGGCTTTTGTAGTATAACAACAGATAAATAATGTTTTTATATATTTAATTATGACTAATTTTATGGCTATTTTATAATTATAAATGTTAATTTAGTAATACTATAAGTGCTTGTGAAATATTATTATTTAGGAGAGCTATTAGAATAATCTTAATGAATACATATTTTGATCACTCAAATTAGAAAATATAATTTTAAAAGAATGCCCAGAATCTTGTAGAATTTATGATCTGTTCAATGTAAAGTAAACTTTTCAAGATCATTATATAGTAAAGCAAGTCCATGTCATGTATTAATAATCAAATGTAGCATAAATTCATCAGGTTATAACTTGATTAATTAAATTTATAGATAACAGCCAATTTGAACTAAAGGTAGACAACTAAGTCACCATCTTGTATTAAATTTAATAATTAGAATTAAGTTATTTAATTTTAGAATATTCTAGAAGAAAAGAATAATTTAGTTTGGGACTCAAATCTACAACTCCTGCTTACCATGAAAATGCATTGCCAGTTACATTATCCAGAATTCTGTCCAATCTTCACTTTCAGATCAATTAATTTAAAAGATATAACCATATTAGTCTTTGTTTCCAGATCACTTGTTCTGGAAGTGAAGATAATCAGTAGTAGGGTGGATCTATGGGGGATACAGGAGCTTAGCCCTTGCCCGCTGACACAAAAAATCAAAATTTGTTTGAATGTCAAAACATTTTAAAAAACATTTATGATAGCAAATGTAGTTTAACAGTTTATTCTCAATACAATCATCTTGCATATGTTAATAAGAGATACTTGAAATTATTGAAATATTTAAAATTTTTGAGTTAGCCTACTTGTGGGTTATTCTGGAGCATCCACCGATCAGGAGTTGCAGATTTAATTCCCATTCCAGATTAGTCTTTATCTTTCCATTTATTCTAAAATTAATTAGTTATAATCTAATTATTAAATTTAATACAAGATGGCAGCTTAATTTCTTAACCTTAGTTCAAATCAGTTAATATTTATATATTTAATTAGTCAAGTTAAAGCCTGATGAATCTGGTGTTGTTTGATTTTCAAGATCATTTTTGATGGACAGTTAATTAGTCTCTCTGAGAGTCAAGATGCTTTTATCTGATAATTGTCATGCTAAATAACACCACTATAAAGTGAATTTTGATGAATCAAATAGTGATATAATTTTAAAACAATGGTCTTAGCTTGATTGTGCAATGTCTCCACTTTATTTACACACACAGAATTACATTCAATTTCAGAATTACTTGCAGACAAAATTGGAACTAAAAATGATATCATTACCATGTCAATTTATGTGCTTCATTTTTAAGACAATACAGTTAGAAAGCCCTTTTATATTAATTAAACTAGCATTTGTATAAAATTTAAAATATTATTAAATATGTTTCAAGTTAGAATACACAGTAAAATAAATTTTGCATAACATTTTCTAAACAGTAATTGGATGAACAAAACAGAATTTCAGCATCCTATTGGATGGCCTGACCATTACAATCCATTAGGTCTTTACTGTATAAGGAACCTCAGCTTTCGTTGAACAAGGTACAGTTAATGCTTATCTTGAATTAAGTTTTGATTTCACATTCTATATCTGAATGCATTATATGAATACATTATTTATAGCTTCAATTTGAAAAGTATAGAAAGCATAGTCTGTCTTTTATGAAAATGGATATGTATATCATAAAAAAAAGTCAATATGTTTCAGTTAAAATTGGCTGATGGTATTTACATATTAAAAATATACATTGAAGAAACATAAATTGTTCTCTAAAATCCATCACTCACAATCATCATTGTTTTTGTCCCTGGTGAATGAGCATAATGGATTTAAGAAGACAGTTTGTTTCTTCAATATATATTTTTAATTATTAATATATTTTTTAAATTTTATTTGTACTAGTTGAACATTTTAAACTGAAGTGAAATTAATGTGCAAACTATCTGAAAAAAGTCTTATGTAACGAGCAATTATTTATTGTGACATTGTCACAATGCTGGACTGCAATTTTTAATTTATTTAACTTAAAATATATGTCCTCCACCTCAAATTAGTAGTGGCTTGCCCCTGTACTGTACATCATACTTTTACTTTAACAAGAGTTGTGTCAGTCATCTATCTAACTCCTTTCAGAGGAAAAATTTTGAATTGAAATAAAGTGACTTCTGGTTTGTATCGGAGGTTTATATATAATTAATCAGGGCCTCCTGTCCATAAGCTTTCCATATATGGTCTCATCTATCTATCATCTATCTAACTCTGTTCTTGAGCTTATTTATGGAAAGACAGACAGTCAGATGGAAAACAGTGGTAATTTATAGGTATACATTTTTCTCAAATTGCAGCTCAATAATGAGAGAACTATCATATAAATCACAGATTTTACTTTTATTTTCAGTTAGACTCTTTCTCACTTTCTCATTTACTTAATGTGAAATGACATTTTAGTATGTTAAAAACTTTCAGGAATTTTGTGATAATTTTTGAATGCTTGTGTATATTAAATACAGAGGTATTTTGAAATTCAAAAACATATTCATTATATCACAGGATACATTATATTATTGTGTAAGGACTAAGATTATGCATAATTAAATTAAATATAAACATCACCTTAACACTAGGGTAGTTAAATCATTTTACTAAACTAAAAATTTTTCGGTTCTATTGATGAGTCTTCATCAGGTAAATAGTGTTTGAATTCAGAACAACTTAACATCAAACATTTCTTCAAAAATTTTTAAAATGGAATTAACATCAAGAAAAAGAACAAGAATATAGTTAATGAATTTTTAACAAATTTTTACAATAAATAAAAAATCCCAATTACTGTATTAACAAAAAATTATATCAAAAAATTTAATACTAATGTAATTAATGTAACTAGGTAATATTTAAGATTGAAAACTGCCAAGTATTGATGTGCATACTACAAGGTGTGTTTATTTGTCCTTTTGTAATCTCGTATCTCCATGCTGTTGGAAGTCACTCTACGTCCTTGGTGTTAATGCAATTTGCAATGTGCGTCCTTGGTGGAAATTTATTAAGAGAAATTTAATAAATATATACTTTTGTACATGGATTATACAAGATTTGTTAATTAATGAATAATAAATAAACAATTTCTTTTTTCAAAGCCATGTAGATTTATGGTTTTGGATTAATAACAGAATAAACTATTTTAATTTAATAAAATATTTTATTTTTAGTTTTAATAATTCAGCAATTATAAATCATGTGTAGAAAAACTGGGAACAAATATACCAATCACATTATACCTTACACAGTTTTCTAGAACTAGTTTAATCAAAACAAATGTTTTCGACCCATTCAGAGGTCTGCCTCAGGTTAAAAACGTATTAAAATACAAATTAAAAAAAAAAAGAATCGAGTTTTAATGATTGAACTATAACTGTTCTATAACCACTCTGAGGCAGACATCTGAATGGGGCTGAAAATGTGTTTTGATTAAACTAGTGCTGGAAAAGTGTGTAAGGTGTAGTGTGATCAACAATTAAAAAGTTAGAGAAGCAATAGTTTGTGTGTATAATAAGTCAAATGCAGTTTTATTTTGTTACTGTGTCATATTATAAGGGACATGAGGGTCAGGGAATTCATACAAAGTTGGTCAGGTAAGTCATGGAATTTAAAACAAAAATAAAACCCTGCATATACAAATAATCTAATAAACTTTATTAACTAAATGAATAGATGAATTCTTATTGGACTACAATAAAGCTAATTAATAAGATATGACAACTAACTACTGTATCTCAGTCTAAATTTGGTTACTGTATCTTAGTCCTAGTTGTAAGTCAGATTAAGGACTCTTAGCTTGGTTTCCGGTTATGTTATGATAGGTTAGGTTAAATTAGATTAGGGTTTGTTAGCTTTAGTTGTCTGGTTAGGTTTGTCCAAGGTTATGGTAAGTTAGTTTAGTTAGTGAATAAGTTAACTTTAAAAAAAATAAATAAATACATAAAAAACAAAATAAAAATAAAAAAACTTTTCTGGAGGTCTTGCTTATTTGTCTCTGTTGGTCTGTTCATCTCGTCTAGTCATTGTGTTCATTTGCTTTTTGCACTGTGTTTCTAGCTGTTAAGTAGTATTAAGATTTGCGATTTCATTCAGCTTTATTAGTATTAAGTAGATATAAGTCTTAATACTAACAGCCACTTGGCACTAACTTCTACACTTAGCTATTTGTGGTGGCACTCAATTATTGGTGTTTGTTACACTCAGGTTTTCTTTTAGGCCCTTTGGGGATCTACAACCTTGCAACCTAAGAACTCTACGTCAACATCAAGCATAGAGTGTATTGTAGCCTTATGTATGCCATTCAGAGGGATCCTACCTTTCTCTACTGTCTATCTCCTCTCCCTCCTCCTTCCCCTCTTTCCCTTACCCTCTTTTTTGCCCACTAAATACTTCATGTACGGCCAATGTCTTTCTTGTATGTATGTAACTACCATATCTTATTAATTAACTACAAGATGTTTAAATGCCTGCCTCTAGTCCAAATTACTTAATATCTTATTAAGTAATTATCCTTATTGTAGGCTAATAAGAAACTGGCTGTCTGTTTGATTAGTAATTCAAAGAATAATCAGTATTAAGACAAAACAAAATGTAATTTCAGGTAATAAAAGCAAATTAATAGTAAGCATTTTTAAAAACAGCATTTGGGCATTTAAAATAGGTTGTTTAAATTCCATGACATTTTATGAATCTTCAAAGAATTAAACTTTGATGCTGCATATGTTGTAATATATTTCACATTAACAAAACTTTGGATTTTTCAAGTAGCATACTCAACATTTTATTTTTGATTACACTAATATTTCTGTGTAAATACAATAGGGTCTTATTTTATGTCAGATTGATATAGGCAAATTCATGTTTTTTCCAGATGGTAAATGGTTAAGCACACATTATAATGGTAGATGGACACATTATAAAATTTATT